AGGCAAAGTGACTCACATACAGGGTCACCCAGCTCTCAAGTGACTGGTCTCACTCTCTCTGAAGACAGCCCCATGGGGTTTGGGCTAATTGCTCTTCAGAGGGCACTTACTTGTCACTTATTCTCTTCCTCAACTTTTTCCTAGAAGATACAGCAGTAGAGTAGGGGAAGGCCCTCTTCCCAACTTTCTATATCACTGCCACCTTCACAGGCAGGTATTAATGAGTTGTTCTTAAGATGATCTTAACTAACAAATGACAAAGATGGGCCTGCACTAGAGCCCTTTCACCCTTCTCCCTCTAGCTCAGTAATACTAGTCCTTCAAAACCAGGTCAAAGGAAAGCCTTCTTAGTTCCCAAAGCAGACCTAGTTCAGTCCCATAGGATATGGTACCTTGAGAGTCATGTCAGAATTATTTAAATGCATTTGTGCCCTCCCAGAGACGGAATTTGATAAGACTTCTATCCCTGCTTCTTAAGCCACTGTTTGGTGAGTTGTACAGTCTCAGAGAAATAATCAACAAATTAAGTGCTATTTTCTAGCCATCAAAGTCTACCTACATTGCAAACACTTGCATACTAATCTCCCATTCTAGGTTGAAAAAAATATGGACTTGTGGGGTTTTTTTTTAATTCCCAACATAATGAATGAGTTTAGATATTAGAAGTTGAAACTATTTAGTAAATCATTTCACCTGCAAAGCTTCTATTTGCATAACATTAATTCATGACGGCAGCTAAAACAAATTCATCAACATTTTGTATATTAGAAGCTGATTTATGTAGGAATTGAAAAAAATCATGAGCTCAAAATTACGTTGACATGAAATATATGCTCGATGGAGGAAGATTTTTCTCTTTCCTTCTTTTCCTTTCTGTTTTTTTTTTTTAAATTATCCGAACTGAATTATGGCAAGAAGGAAAAGGATCTGAGGAGAGGAAGAAGGCGAAGGACTGGCATCCTGGAAAATTAATAATGCTACCGCCTCACAGTGTGGCAGGCTCTTGGTGTACATACACACACACTCTCCAGTTATTAATGTCAAGTATGCCAAAAATACGCTGGAAAATCATTACCATTCATCGCCACTAACCACCATTAAATTTCAATCAATTCAACTTAGCACAAGTGTACTTGAGCAGCCCTTACATTTCCTTATAAATGTGGCTCAAAAATAGGGCTGACTTATTGCATTGTCCACCACACAAAGAAGCATTGCTAAGCATCTGCTTGGACACAGGGACGATGCTCTTTTAACATCCTAGGCATTCAGAGATCATTCTTTTTCTGAGCGCTAAGAGGTTTCCAATTCCTACAGGTCAGACAAATGGGGGTTGGGGTACTATTTTGAGGGTACCGCCATTCCTCTCCTGCCCTTGGGTTGCGGACAGGACTATATAGACCTCCCTGGCTGCAGTCCCTCTCGCAGATGCCTTATATAAAAGGTTTCTGATGCCACCAAAAGTTTGGTAACATATCCCCTCTCTCTCCTGACTTTGTTGAAATACTCTCAATGCACTGTGCAGGCATAAACTAAACTCAACCCCCTTCTCCCAGCAAGGCGAGAGCGAGTCAATCTGAAGTGGGAGGGAAATTCAGTCCACAGGCAAGGGCGCCCTAGGAAGGCGCCTTTCCCAGGTAGGTGCTCCGCTCGCGCTCAGCTGTGCCTCCCCCGGCGACAAAGGCGGCGGCAGGCCCGGTTTGTGTCTGGCCCGCGTCTTTTCTAACCGACTCGGCAAGAGCAGTGTCCGGCTTGTTGCCACTTGCCGGAGGCGGCGGGACAATGTGGCCATTGTTCGGGCGCCGCAAACCAGGCCAGTGGCAGGTGGGAGAAGAGCACTCGGCGCACCTAACGTTCCCGGGACCGGGCTCGTCTCCAAGGCCTGGGCACCGCCCCGGAGCCGACCTGCTCAGTCCAGCAGAGGGAGGAGAGGGGAGGAGAGAGAAACGCGGACCGAGAAACAAGTGAAAGCAGATAATGAGGAAGGAAGAAAGGAGAGGGAGGGGGCAAGAGAAAAGGGAAGAAGGCAAAGAGGAGAGAGAAGATGGGAGAAGGAAGAAGAGGAGACAGAAGACCTAGGTACAACAGAACTGAACTGCAGGCTGCACAGGAAGCCTCTGGAAAGAACAAGAGTTCACCCGATTCATGCAGAGCAGCAGCTCCCAAGTCAGCCTGGGCAGCAAAGCGTGATCACACTAAGGGCTTTGCCTAATTACAGGTTTGAGACCTGGGGCTCGAGGAAGGGAGATACTTAACTCTGTCCCAGGGAAGGCCTAGGCACTTGAATGGCTTGTAAGGTTGGGCAACACAGATACCCCCCCATTTCTATCCCAACCAGCCCACTGAGGCACAATACTGGAGGACAAGGTCTGCACTGTGGGGGCCGTAGGCTGGCCAGGAACAGCCATCCCGCAGAAGCGTTTACAGTTCAGCAGGGACAAGAGTGTGGGGCTGAGCCCATGCTGGTCACCGGTGAGGCCACAGGCCTGGGGGGGCCCCACCTCAGGCTGCAGCAGGGCCCCCTCTCCCTCCTCCCCGCTCAATCCTCACCACCTCACTCACAGGAGGCCAGGGGCCCTCATCCAAAGGGGGAACATCAATCCGGTTCTAATGAATAAAAAGTTCCCTTTATTTCACTGCTGTTTTTGGTTCATTAAATTTTCCACAGATTTGCAGAAAAGAAAACATAATCAATAAACCTTGACAAAAGTGAACGTGTGAAAAAGGCCAGAGAATGGAAAAGCAAGATAAAAGTGATATCGGATCACAGATTTCAGTGGCAGATGACGAGCTGGGGCTGCTGAAGAATCTCAATGGACCATCACCCTGTTGGGGCTTTCCTTCCCTTTGCTGAAACTCTTCATTCAAGACAATAGTCAGTGCACTAAAACTTTTTTCTTATGCTAATGAATGAAACCGGGCACTCAGAGTTAAAACACTGCCCAGCAAACTGTTTTCTTTTTTAACAACACACATGCACACACACAAAACCACATTAACTTACTTGATTGAAGCCAAAATCTCAAAAACAATTTAATACGTATTCTTTGGTTCACATCTGATATGAGTTATTTTCCTCCTTTTGCACGCTTTTAAAAAAACCAGAACTGGGACACAAAACTGTTATTGAGGATGCTTTTGTTGATGAAGGAATTGGGAGAAATATGATACTTAAACACACAGAAAGTATGCAGTTATTATTGGTGGATTTTCCCAGGGTTTTAAACATAGTTTTGTAGGTTAAATATTGTTTTGGTCATCCTTGAAATCTAAAAACAAGGATCAATGACTTGTTTTTTTTAATCCAATATATTCTACAGCAAACATTCATATTAATTTTAGAGAAAAGGTTAATACTGAGTCCAGTGTCATGTGTTTATTTGAAAACGATGAAGCTGCTGCTCCTTAGGAAAAGATACTACCAAACTCCAATGTCCCAATGTCACCTTCTAAACAAGCCTGAGGAAACAATTACAGAGCAGCTTTCCTCCCTGAGGTCTTTAGAAACCAGGAAGCCTGTTCACCGAAGCTGCAGCACATTCTGGTCGCTGTACAATCACCTATTCTGCCTCTGAATTTTCTGGAATCTGAGAACAGAGTTTCTCTCTTTGGCATTCTTCACGAGTTTCATTTATCCATTCCTCTGACACTTACTGAGAAGGAGAAAAGGGGGAACTGCTTCCCCAGGGTTCCTTTCAAAGGGCCCTGGACCAGCTGCAGGCAGCCAGGTCCATCTGGCCTGGCCGGCCCTCCTGCACCAAGAAACTGGCCTTAGCACAGGTAGAAACCACCCCCCAACCTGAAGAGGCTGGTCTGCTCCACCTCCCTCCCACCGGGTTGTTCAAATTAAAGAACCCCTGCGGAACACACACAGTCCCCAGAAACATACATCTAGGATGTAGGAGTTGGGTTTGTAGCTTTAACAAGCCTGTGGGGTGTGTAGGGGTCACAGAGGCTTTCAAAGTGCACACGCCGACCTCCTGGTCTCATTTAAAGGGAGCTGCTGGCATTTGCGGGGTGAAGTGTGTCCTCCCACCCTTACCCCCCATCCCCTACCCGGGTGGCTGAGTGAGGCCCTGGTGGAAAAGGGGTGTTTTTATTAGGCAAATATCCAATTTTGTCTGCCTGCTGAATCCCCTGGTTCACTAATCCAGCCCTAGGGGTTGCACTGTGTACAGGGCACTTGTGGGAGTACAAAAAGCATGAAGTATTTGTGTATTTTTCAGTCTGCAGTGCAAACAAGCCAGCTACAGTACACAGCCCCCAAGACTCCCGCAGCCAGGCAATGAGCCACTGACCAGCAGCCCTGTGGCCCCTCTTCTGACCAGGCAACTCAAAGGATTTCCTCTGTTCAGTGCTCTCCCCACACATGGGCTGAAGCCTCCCTGAGAAAGTGGAGAGACACTCCAGAAGGGCCTTGTCTAACTCCACACACACTCGAAGGTGGGCCAAGTCCAGAGTTCCTTCCAAGGCCAAGGCCAGGGTGAGCATGAATTGGGGAGCAGCCTGGAGGCTCTGCTAAAGGGGTCTGGAACCAAATTCCCATCAAAACAATTTCCATGGAGGAAAAGAACATCTCTAACAGTCCCCCTTTTTCATCAGTGAGTGTGGCCCTGGTAGAGTTTTTTTCTCCCTCTGGATCTCATTCTCATCCAGACTTTAAAAAGACTGTTCTGACCATAGCCTCTCAGATGCCAGGCCCTGGGACTCTGGTTACCTGAGGCCTAATTCCTAGGCACTTGGGCTCCTTACCTCCAACAGTAGTTTAAAACCCCCTAGAATCACTAAATAACCTTAGGAAATTAGCATATTTTTCAACGCAGAGGGGAAATACGAAATCACCCAAAATATTACAAAATATAACTAACTTTGAAACTCTCGGGCAAGTGACAACTTTCCATGTGTCTGGGTTTGAGCAGAATTTAAATGTGGGAGAGAACACCTCCACTATTTCCTGTGACTCTCGGCCACGGAAGGGAGAAGTAGCAACTCTTAGGAAATCGAAAGCAAGATGAGGAAAGAGGAGCAAGGAGGGAGATCAGAGGCAGGAGGAGGGAGGGAGGCCCTGGAAGGGACCCATCTGCCAGACTAGACTCTACATTCTAGACTTACAGCCCCAGGGCAGACCAGAAGCTGGGAAAAGCCTAAAGAGAATCAAAACTCAGGGCGGCCCGGCACAGCCAGGGTGCCCTCCCCTCCCCTGACGGGGTCATTCCAGGTAGCCACACAGTGAATTCTCCTCCTGACTGGGCCACTGCAAAGCCGCTCCCAGGCAGGGAGGAAGCCTGCCCCAGACACAGGGAAGCCGAGGAACGGGAACTCCCAGCCCAGGTAAGGAAATGGGCGGTGAGGGGGCTCGGGGAGCTGGTAGGTGAGCTGGAAGAACAAACAGATCTCACCAGGGGTACTTGTGACAAGCCCGCCTATTCCGCTGCTTTCCACTGCTGTATATTTTGGATTTCACAGTTTATTTACTTTACTTTTTGGCACCGAGCCCCCTGAGCATGCCAATACAATATTTGTTTAAACACTATTTTATGCCGCTTGCTAGGGAAACGTTTACTTTCAAATTCTCCAACATCCCCCAGAGCCTCGTCTGCAAACAGCATATGAGCGTTTTACAACTGCTCCCTTTATCTGAAGCTGTCGGGATTAAACCTTCACACGCCCGGCGAGGGCCGCGGGGCGGGGGCCAGGACTCGGCCACGGCCACCGGGCTGCAAAGCCCGCGCCAGAGGCCATATGCACTTCCTGGGATGCCCAGGGGGGAGGGCGGAGAAGCGCATAAAAGACCTCCAGCCAGGACCGGCACCAGACTCTACGGAAAGGTCTACTTTCCCAGCCGGGATCTACTCTGAGAGCCACATAAAAAGCATACAGAAGACTGGGGAGTGGGAGGAGGCATCATGGGGGGAAGCCAAGGCCCGCGAGCGTCTAGGCGGGGGGTCATCCGGGGTGAAGCGCGCGGGCTCCATCCCGAGCTCCTCACGCAGTAACAGTCGGGTTTCCTAGGAAATGACAGCAAGTACAGCCGGGCTGAAAAGGCGACGAGTTGGGTGGACTTCCAGCTCCCCGACGCGGCGGGCGCGCTCACACTCACACACTCGAGCACACGCTCCCTTTCACCTCCCCTTCTCCCCTCCCCCGTCCGGGAAAAAACGCTCCCCTCTCTAAACCCTTAATAGGATTGGCGCCCAACTCTCTCTGCGCCTCTCCCCCATCCATCAGACACAGATCAAGTTGCAGTAGTGGATTTTTCAAATTCCTCAGCAAATATACTTGTTGAGAGATTGCCCCTGGCGGGGTTGTGGGGGAGATGATGAGTGGGGGCGGGGATGAAAGTGCGGGGTGGGGAGACGGACTGGGCGCGGGGTTACGTGCGGTTCCCTTCGGGAAGTCAAGCGGATCTCGGGGCGGAGGGCAACAGCGGAGGAGGAGGAGAGAAACGAGGAAGGCCGGAGAGGAGCCTGACCGAGGGGGAGGGGGCGACAGGGACTGACGAAGGAGAGGAAGGAGCGAGGAAGAAGCGAGAAAGAAAGAAAGGCAAGGCTCCGCGTCGGGTAACTCAAGAGAAGTTAGGAGTTCACAAATGGTTGGCTACTGCCCACCCACCTCACCCTCCACCACACACACACCACAGTCCCCTAAGACACACTCCCACGGTCCACCTCCGCGAGCCTCGCTGCATCCCAGGCGCGGAGCTACCCACCACCTCCCGCAAAAACAGTTTCGGGCTCGGGCGCGGCGGAGACCGGGTGGGACCCGTCCGGCTGTGCACCCGAAGATCAGCTCTTTCCCCCAAGTAGGAAGGGGATGCAAAACCGTCCCCCGGGCCCCCCTTCGGTCCCCGCCCAGCTTGGCCAGAGCCCAAAGAAGAGCTGGCTCCCGGTCCCTTGAAGCCCGGTGTCCTGATTCCCTAGCTGTGGCCCGGGCACCCGGCCGAGGGAAACTCCGAGACGGCGTAGCATCCCAGTCAGCCCAGGCTCAGCTGGAATCGGGAGCACTTCGCAACGAAAAGCAAGCAAAAGAAGGCCAATGCAACTTTACCAAGGGAGACAAAAGTTTGCCTCTATCACGCAGGTGGCCTCTGTGGCGCCAGGCAGTGGCTGCGGGCCCCCATCCCAACTTGGCTTAGCGCAGCGACCCTCCGCGGACTGCCGTGTGCGGGGCTCAGTCCAGCCGGGATAGGGCAGGCCAAGCAGGAGAGAAGACCGAGAGGCGGGCGGGGGCCGGGCAGCCCCTACGCTCGGCCCGCGGGCAGCTCCCCTAGGCTCCCGCGTGCCTTCCTCCAGCTACTCCGGCTCCTTCTCGCCTTCCTCTGCGTCCGCCGCCGCCGCCGCCTCCTCCCGTTCCTCCTCGAAGTCTCATTGATGGGAGTTTGAAAAAAAGTCCGCGGAGCCGTGCTGCCTCGGCTGGCAAGCTCCGGCACTCCTGCAATCCATCAACGCCGCGCGTTCGGCGCAGCGCCCCCGCGCGCACGGCTTGAACACACGCGGGCGCCACGCACCCGCCAGCGCCGCGCGCACCCGCCCGCGGGGAACCCGGAACACCCGGCGGGGAGGGGCCGGAGGGCACCCTCCTCCCCTGCACCGAGGAGAGAAAGCACACCTACGAAGAAAGTTCGAACAGAGAACGAAGGAATGCGCCAGTCTCCCAAGACTTTGTTTCAAGGCGCGGGGTGGGGGGTCGCTAACTCAAGTCAGATGAGCTCCGGGGCCGAGGCGCAGGGGCTGCCCTGTTTTCAATCTCTGATATCACCCGCCCTCCCCTTCTTTTTCTCCTCCGCCTGGAGCTGCCCGGGTCGCCGTTCCCACTGCGGCAGCTTCCCCGGGCGGCGGGGCGGGAACCGGGACGGGAGGGCAGGGGGCGGGGGCGGGGGCGGGCTCTGCGCAGACCCTTTTCCAGCGCGCAGGTGCCGGGGTCCTGCCCGCGTTCCCCGGCCGCGCCTCGCGCGAGTTGCCATCGGAGCGCCCGTGGTCGAGGAGTGAGAAGCCTACTAGGTTGGGTGCCTGTGTGTTCTGCAACGAGGGTTTTTGTTTTAATTTTTTCTAGAGACTCTAGTCGAGTTGCTGCAGCCAGATGGAAGTAATCAGAACCCAAAAAGAACAGGGGAAGAACGAAGGAGAACACCTCATTGAATTTTTGGCCGAAGTGTGTAGGAGGTGTGTGTGAAAGAACTTGCTGAACCAAAGTCGGTGACTAGCCCTGAGCTCTCACGCCTCACCACAGCCTAGAACTGAGCTGTCGGACTGGAGAGGCCTGGGGGTGTGGGGGGAGGTGGGGCACCAGCCTCTCCGGGCCCGAGGGTCCTCACCCAAAGAGTGCCTAATTGGGGGAATTTTTGCTTTTTCTTTCTAACGTTTATAGAGCAGTTACAGTGTGCTAGGTGACATGTTATGTTATAATTAATAATCTTTATATTATTTAACCTACAAAACTGTGAGGTAGGTTCTCTTCCTCTGTTCCTCCCTCCCACCTCCGTTTTACAGGTGAGAAGACTGAGGCTTAAAAGTGTTAAGTGACGTTGTTTGTTAAGTGACGTTCCCAGGTTCCCAGGTGCTCCATGAGCTTCAGGAGGTCGGATCGCAGGTTCAAGGAAACTTGCCCTGCCGAGGGAGGGGGGAGAATCCCTCCCGTCATCCTCTTCCTGCAGTTGTGTCTTGTCTGAAATACAGGGAAACCAAAGGCCTAGACCCCATTGCACCCGCCTGCACAAGCCCAGTTTACTGATGTAGTCCCTTTTTGTCAGTAGCTCTCTCCCTGTACTACTGACCCTCCCCTAACTTCATTGTTCACTTTTTAATCAGAGCAGTATGATCCTCATTCTCTATTACCTACCCTCCTTCCCTTCTTACATTCATTTATATGAGAGAATCAACAATTCCTTCTTGACCTAGAGAAAAAAATTAGAACTGTTGTTCTCTAACAGCATTAGAACTAATTTTGTTTTTCTCAAATAGGCTCCCATCAAATAGATGAGAAAAAAACCTGCAGGTTTTTTAAAAGGCAAAACTTGAAAAAACCAATGTATTTATTAAAGGGAAGAGAAGTTTGAAAGGGGCTTTTCCTTTTAATACGATAAGATATACCATTCCCCCATGCTATTTGTTTAAATTCCTGCTGAGCCTTCAGAACAGACTCTCAGGAGACAGAAAAAGTAAACTCTTCCTCTCCTTGGCCACATTTTAATTACCCTATTCATATCTATCCCCAAGAAATGTAGGGAATCATTTCATGTTACTGGTATATTAGTGTCGGCAAATTACTTCAAGCTTGTCTCTGTTGGTTTCCTTGTGTTGTGAAGTTTGTGAAGAAATGTAAACAAATCAACATTTTGAGATATTTCCTTTTTATCTGTTTTTCTTCCTCAAACCAGCTCAACTCTCCTAGAATCCAGGCACTCCCATAACATTTCCTGCCCTATTTTTGGCAAGAAGGTGGCTGTTGAGATGAAGATGGAATGTTTTGAGTTTGAGGAGAGGCTGAAGAGACTGTGCCTTAATCTCTACATGGTCAGAAGTTTGAGCACTGAGAAAAGCAGCGCGTTTTTTTGGAAGAGACATCCTCGCATAGCAGAGAGAGCCTTATGTGAGCACTGGGGCACGAGGCCCTGGCCACCAGATCTGGTAATAAATGTATGACCTTGGGCAAGCCCTGGTCTTCAGTCTTCAGTTTTTTACCTGCCAGGCATTGTGCTGAGTCATGTGACAACACAGCAAGGGAAACTGAGGAGATACTTCCCCCTCATGGAGATTATTGTCTCATTAATGACCACAAACACATACACCAAAACTGGGGTGAAGAAAAAGCGCTCTAAGAGCTTCTGATTAGCGATCTAAGCTAGCAGGAGGGCAGTGGTGCTGGGCGCAGGGGAGGCTTTTCCTGAGGAAGGGAGGTTGCACTGATAGGGAGAAGGAGTGAGAGACAACAAAAGCGAAAATAGCTAAGTGGAACTACATTAAGCTAAAAAGCTGCTACACAGCAAAGGAAACAGTCAACAGAATAAAAAGGCATCCTGTGGAATGGGAGAAAATATTTGAAAACCACGTATCTGCCAGAGTTAATTTCCAAAATATATAAATCACTCCTGAAACTGTATAGCAAAAACTAATGACCTGACTAAAAATTGGGCAAAGGACCTGCTAGACACTTCTCCAAAGAAGACATACAGATAACCAACAGGTACATAAAAAGGTGTTCAACATTGCTAATCATCAAGGAAATGCAAATCAAAACACAGTGAGGTATCAACTCAACATCTGTTAGAATGGCTATTACCAAAAAAAAGAGCTAACAAGTGTTGGTGAGGTTGTAGAGAAATTAGAACCTTTTGCACTGCTGTGCTGGTGGGAATGTAAACTGAGATAACTATTATGGAAACCCGTATGGAGGTTCCTCAAAAAACTAAAAATATAAAAATATGGAAACAACCCAAATATACATTATCAGATACTGGATAAAGAAAATGTAGTATATGCAAACAATGGAATATTATTCATCCTTTAAAAAATAAATTCTACCCTTTGCAATCACATAGATCAATCTGGAAGAAGTTATATTAAGTCAGTGAGAGAAGGACAAATATTGCATGATTCCACTTAGAAGGCATCTAAAATAAAGAGGTACACAAGCAAGCAATAGAATGGTGGTTACAAGGCAATGTAGGGGACATGGGGAATTGTTCAATGGGTATAAAATGATAGTTTTACAAGAGGAATAAGTTCCAGAGGTCTGCTGTATGTACAGCATAGTGACTATAGTTGATAATAAGGAGTTGTGCACTGTAAAATTTAAGAGGGTAAATCTTGTGTTCTAATCTCACACACATGAAGAAAGCAAAAGGAGCACAAATAAACTTTTGGAATTGATAAATATAGTTATATTACCTGGACTGTGATGCTGGTACACGAGTGTGTGCATATGTCCAAACTCACCACATTGTACAATTATGTGCAGTCTTTGTATACCAATTATACTTCAATAAAGCTGGGGGAAAATGGGAGTGAGGGAGGGTTAACTAGGAGAGAGAAGAGGAGGAGTCAGGGTCCCGTTTTTTTCTCTTTTTGTAAAAGAAGATTGAATGATAAAATCTGGGCCCAATGAGAAGGGGCTTGTCCATCACTGCACAGCATTACAGTTCCTAGGGTTATATCACAAATCAACCTAACTCAATGGAATAAAACATCCATTTAATATGCACAAAGATACTGTGGGTCAGGATTTTGGGCAGAGAATACTGGGGACAGCCTGTCTTTGCTCCCCAGCATTGGAGCCTCAGCTGGAAGATGTCCAGGCTGGCACTGGGACCATCAGAAGACTTGCTCACTCTAACATGGGCATTTGATGCTGGCTGTCAGCTAGGGGCCTCAGTTCCTTTCCATCTGGCCCTCTCTGCATGTTCTCTACTTAGACTAGTTTGGCCTTCCTCACAGCACAGTGGGAACTGGGCTTCCAGGGTGAACATAATGAGATAGCCAGGTGAAAGCCCCATCACTTTTTAGGCACTCTGGAAGTCAACACAGCATCATGGCTGCATTCTGTTCATCGCTGCATTCTGTCCATTGAGACACAAAGTTCTGCTTAGGTTTATGGAGAGGGAAGATAGGTTCTCAATGGGAAATGGCAAGATTCTGAAGAGCAAATGGGGTCAGAGATGGTGCTGTGGCTGTTTCTGGAAACAGTCTGCAGCACAAAACTAAGTGGAGACAAAAGACTTAGAAAAATGCTCGGAGGCAGCCTGCTAGGCTTGGCTGCAAAGCCCAGTAGCAAGCACTGAGGAACACCAGAAGTCAGAGACCTAATACCTGCCCAGTACTCTCTCATCAAGAGATACATGAGCGTGGCCACAGCTGAAGAACACAAATAACTACTCGGGATTGGGGTGGGTAGTAGAATAAGCAGCCAGTTAGCAGCCAAGGAAGAGAGACAAGAAAGGGTATCAGAGAGTAAAGGCCAGTCCCCAAAGTGGGTTGCTCATGTGCTGTTCTTTTGGGGTGCCTGAAATAGCCCTCAGCATCCTGCCATACTCCATCCCAGGGTACCTCCCACAGGCTCTGTGAGGTCAGTAACACTAAAGTCTGGAGTCACTGCTATGACTTATGGCTGTGTCTGTGATTAGTGCAAATACACTGGGGAGGGCTGACACAACCTTTGTAGGGGATGGTCCTTACCACTGTGCATAAATATGTCAGATCTTTTGCAAAGAATAGCTTATATAGGAGGAGTAAAAAACATAAAGATGACACCTGAGGGGCCACTACCAGGGGGACAGGCATATAAAGGGAGGATGCCAAGCAGGCCAAAGACCAACAGGTATTTCATATTTGCAGCCCAAATCGTCAACCCTCCCAGACATGGCTGTGGGGTTAAGCAATGTGGAGACACGCAAAGCTGGGTGATGTTAGAAACCCCTCAGCACAGAACCAACCAGGGAAAACCCTTTTCCCTTTCAGGGCTGCGCTAAAGAACACAGCTGGGAGAGATTCAAGTGCAGAAGGGCTAGAACTCTAATCATTCATTCATTCATTCGTCCATTCTTGTTGAGCTCCTACTGTGTACCATGCATTTTCCCCTTGCCTTCTTCCACTTGCTGACCCCTGGCTCATTGGTACTCCCACAGGCCCCCTGTCAGCTCAGAGTAATGAAGGCTATGAAGGAGGTTGCCAAGTATATAGAAAAGGAAGGAGCTGGGAAGGGGGACCATGGGACACTGATGGAGCCATCCCTGGGAGGAGAAAAGAGGATAAGGCAGTGGGGATGAAGAGGAGACATTAAAATCAGAAGGGCTGAGATTCAGGGGATATGTGAGGCTTTTGTTCCCCCTTAGGGCCAAGTTTCTTAAGAACTTTTCTCAAGATGTGGCATGGGTTTCTTAACCAAACTGAAAAAGCATCATCTCATAGTCACTAGTGATTCTAAGAAATACTGATAGTGCTCACAAGTCATATACTAATGAAAGACATTATTTCAAGACAATTTTAAAAGCAATCACTAAAGACACCTAATTAAAATGTATGAAATTGCTATAAGACACCAGACTGACCTACACATTGATCTTAAGGATAACCACTCCGTGCCCATAGTGTATCAAATTCAACCTAAAGAGTTGATTCTCTTTGGAGCTACCAGTAAGCAATGGTGAGACCATGGCCAGCTTATAACACACCTACTTCCTTGGGTCCCATCCACTCATCATCTCCAGCAGGAAGGAGTCACTTGTGGGTTTCATTAAAAGAACATTTAAACTTGAATATTCCCCAAATGTGTATACATCATTTCTCTCCTTCAACACCTCCTCCCTTATCCATTTTTTAATTAATGTTTCAACTTGTCTTTTTAATGTTCAGTGTCAGAAGTTTGTTTTGTGTCTGGGTTACTTGGTGAGCCTCATCTTGCCAGAAGTCATTAGGAGAGAGGCAAATTCCCACTGCCTTTGAATAAATTAAAGGAGAAAGATAGCATGGGAATCACCCCCTGTCAGGCTGCATAATGGAGGGTGTCAGCAAAGTGATAGCAGGAAACTGCTTCACAAAGGCCGGAGTTGCTCAGCAGGTAAGGCTAGCACATATGAACGTGTTGGACAGCAAATCTTCCCCCAAGTTAACATGTAAATGGAAGGTTTTCATATAAATAAGAAAAAGAGTTGGAAGAGAAATTGAAGACCCTAATTATGATAGCAAAGGAGTATAAACTATCAAGACTTAAATATAAAATGTCCAAAGCCTGTAGGAGAAAACCCATAAAGTGACACTGAAACTCATGAAAACATGGACTTGTTAAAAAGTTGTATGGGGAGAACTAGAATTACAACTAGACCAAGACATCATCTCTTACCTATCAGACTAACAAAGCCCAAAGTTTGACACTACGCTCTGACAGAAGGCTGTCATGCGTTACTGGTGGAAATGCAAAATGGACAACCCCTTTAGAGGGAAATTTGGAACATTTAGCAAAATCACACATGCATTTACTCCCTTGACCTGCTCATTTCACTGCCAAGTATCTATTACAAAAAAAACATACAAAAAGGCACATATAGAGGGCTAACAGTGACAGCACTATTCATAATATCAAAAAACTGGAAACAACCCATGAACCTTCATGTGAGGTCAGATTGAATGAACTATAGCATATGCTCCTGATGGAATATTATGCAGCTATAAAAAGGAATGAAGACTATTTCTTAAGCTATTTTATGTATTGTTAAGTGAAAAAAGCAAGTTGAAACAAACTGCATAGCACACTACTGTTTATCTTAAGATGAATGAGATACAAGTGTTTGCACACACATGCATATATCAGATTTGTTTCTGTATATACCTTGGGGTTTTAAATGACTTTGGAACCTTGAAAATATTTCACATTATTATAAAAGAAAAATTATTTTTTCAAAAGTAACCCCAAAATTGAAAGTTAAATGAAACAAGTGAACATAAATATGTGTGCAGTTAGTTGATACAAAAAGACAGAATAGTACATTGGTTTTAAAACAATGATTTGCACAACCATGGAGGGATATACCTTTAGGACAAGAAGAACTGGCAGGGAAAAAAATCCATTTTTTTCAGTAATTATGTTGGTGGTGGAGTTGTAGTATTGTTCTGAGATACTGTATATACAGTATGAAATAATGCAAATGAGTAATTGTGTTGTA